TCTTTTGTGTTTTTTATTTATTGTATACGTTGATTGAAAAAATCAAAATAGTAAAATTGTATACATTGATTAAAAAAATCAAAATAAGAAAAATAAGAAGATTTATGTTCCATTTAGAATTGTTATTATAAGATATATTTTAAAATAAATTATCATCTAAAAATATATATTAGATATTAAAAACATATTTATATCATAAAGATAATAAAAATGTAATATTTAAATGATTTATAACTAAATCATTTTACTAAAAAAAATACACATAACACTTTACTTTATATACAAATTTATTACATTTATAATAATAATATGTTATTTTTAAATTACTTAATAAATAAAATATAAATTTATATTTGTTTAACAAAAAACAAAAATTCAAACTCAAAATGAAAAAAATAAACTAAACCAGTTTAAAATTTGATTCCCTGAAAATCGAATTCTGACATGTACATTTGGTACATATTTTTTTAAAAAAATATTATATGCGTAAAAAAAGTTCTCAATATGTAAATCCAATTTTCTCTTTCATAATCAATTCGGGTTGTTGTTTACTTTTTCCACACCGTAGATGTCAATTCGGGTTGTTGTTTACTTTTTCCACACCGTAGATGTCAATTCGGGTTGTTGTTTACTTTTTCCACACCGTAGATGTCAATTCGGGTTGTTGTTTACTTTTTCCACACCGTAGATGTCCTCCCAAATTAAATTTCAATGCTAGTCTTTTCAATGATAGTGAGTGAGAACGAATGAAAGACAATAGTAATTAGTAAAGACTGGTTTTTCTATCTATCTAGCCATCAGAATGGAGCGACCAGCAAACAGAACCCGTAAACCACGAAATAAAGACATTTATAAATTTTTTTATATTAATAATTAATTATATCTTTTAATTATATCATGTTATTATAAATATATTTATTTTTATTAATAATATTATATAATTAAAAGATATAATTGATTATTAGTGTAAAAAAAATTTCTATTAATAATATATAAGTGATTAACTCTTAGTAAAAATAAGTTAAAATTTATTAATTCACTCACCCATAACTCTGCCTTGTGCATCACGTACAAGCCACTAATCCACTCTTGTGTAGTTTTTACTCTACACATGTTTCACTCCATAATTCATTGTGCATATTACTTCCATTTACTTCATAAATTTTGTTGTCTTCCTCTCTAATTCTACACAGTGGTGTTACTCTTAAGCCTGGTTATTTTATGCTCTAACTCTCAAGCTTAGTGATCCTGTAACTCCTCAATATATGTCAATGAATTTTACACTTTCTCTGATGAGTATCATACTTTATATACTGTTTCTGTTTCTCTCTTCTACCGTAGTTTCCATAGCTGCGGACACATCATCAATTTCACAGTCCCAACCCCTCAGTTATGGAAAGACAATGGTTCCCCCTCGTGGAATCTTTGAGCTTGGATTCTTCAATCTAGGAAATCCCAACAAAATCTACCTCGGGATTCGGTATAAGAATATTTCACTTCAAAACGTTGTTTGGGTTGCAAACGGTGGCAACCCTGTCAAAGATTCCACTGTCATCTTGAAACTGAACAGTTCTGGCAATTTGGTCCTCACATACAACAACACGATTGTCTGGTCCACAAGTTCTCCAAAAGCAGCACAGAATCCAGTGGCAGAGCTCTTGGATTCTGGCAATCTTGTTATTGGGAAAAACCCAAGTCCACATCGACTAGAGATTAGGTAATTAAATAGTATATAAGTGGAAAGTAACTCTCACCTTACAAGCCGGTTTTGTAGGAAAGTAACTCTCACCATTGATGCATGCCTCATAGGTATGAGGGGGTGTATCGGGAAAAACCCAAGTCCCGCCAATCCTAGATCATTAAAAAGGGTCACCCACCATTTATCCACATACCAAGCCTGATAGTGCTAGACGTGAGGGGGTGTATTAGGAAAAACAGGGTTGAGTTAGGCTTAATCCACTATTCTAACACTTGTGATAAGAGATGAGAATGCAGCAAAATCAAATCCAAAGGCATATATGTGGCAAAGCTTTGATTACCCTTCTAATACAATGTTGGCTGGGATGAAGATTGGATGGGACCTTAAAAGGAATCTAAGTAGAAGTCTCATAGCTTGGAAGAGTGGTGATGATCCAACCCCAGGTGACTTATCATGGGGTATTTTGTTGCATCCCTATCCTGAGATCTATATGATGAAGGGGACAAAATACTACCACAGGCTTGGACCATGGAATGGTTTGCGTTTCAGTGGCAGGCCATGGCCAGAAATGACGAATAATAATAGCTTTTTCCATTACCAGTTTGTCTCCAACAAGGAAGAGGTTTATTACACATGGACCCTCAAGCAGACTAGATTATTATCAAAAGTGGTACTTGACCAATTCACACAAGAACGTGTTCGTTATAAATGGTCAGAGACTGATAAATCATGGAGGATATATTCAACTATGCCAGAAGATGGCTGTGACCATTATGGCCTTTGTAAGGCCAATGCATTTTGCAGCAGTACTTCATCACCAGTATGTGAGTGTTTAAAAGGGTTCAAGCCTAAGTCTCCGAAAGAATGGAGCTCAATGATCTGGACCCAAGGCTGTGTCCTGAAACATCCGTTGAGTTGCAAGTATGATGGGTTTTCCCAGGTAGATGGCTTGAAAGTGCCAGATACTAAAAGAACATCTGTTGATGAGACTATTGATCTTGAGAAGTGCAGAAAAAAGTGCTTGAATGATTGTTCCTGTATGGCATATACAAATACAAATATAAGTGGAACAGGAAGTGGCTGTGTCATGTGGTTTGGTGATTTAATTGACATCAAACAGTATCCAGTTCCAGAAAATGGGCAGCGTCTATATATAAGGTTGCCTCCTTCAGAATTAGGTAAATACTTTCTTAACTTTTTCAATTAATCCTTTTAATTTTCTTCACCTGAGTTTTATTAATCTTGCCCTTTGATGTGGAATTTAACAGTTGTTGTTTTCTTTGATCAATTTAGACAGTGAAGAGTCTATTAGGCGCAAGAACTATAAAATAATACTTGTAACCTCCTCTGCTGCAACTTTAGGAGTTATGCTTGCTATTTATTTCGTCTACAGAAGGAAATTTTCTGGTAAAGTTATTCTTTTCTTCCCTCACATTTCACTCAAAATATGGCTGAATAGTTCGGTATATCACATTTAAAATTCTGCTATTTTTTTACTTCCATTGACAATTGCTGTTATTGGTTTTTTAGGGTATCCTTTAAATCTTGGTTAAGTGGCCTTATTGAAAATGTTTGTTCTGTCGCATAGACAGAATTTCATAATTGTACAGTTGAATAATGTGAATGCATAAAAAGAAATTGGCAGAATTTTTATGTTTTCTATATATATCAATTGAAATTGAAAATTGGAAGTGCTTCAAATTATCAGGAAGCACTTGTAGTGTAGTCATAGCTTAAAGAGGAATTGGAGGCCTGGTGGCTTGTCAACATTGCTAATCGGCCATGAATCTCGTATGTTTTAATAAGAGGAGTTTCAACTTGCTACAATTAAAGAAATTGAGTTTATTGACCATTAGGTTCAGCCTGGTTGTAGAGTTGGAGTAATACTTACAAACAGGTCGTAAGTTCGAGTTTTATTGTCACATCTTAATTTCTACCGATATAAAAAAGAAACCGAGTTCATAATACTATCCAGTAATCAATGTTTTATTCCTTTTTCTTTTTGTTTTTGTTTCAGATAGATCGAAGACAAAAGATAACATTGAAAGACAGCTAGAAGATCTGGATGTGCCATTGTTTGATCTGCTAACAATCACTAATGCCACTAACAATTTCTCCTTGAATAATAAGATTGGACAAGGTGGTTTTGGACGAGTATACAAGGTAATTAAATATTTGTGAATTTAACAGAAAACAGAACAACAAGAGGCTAGAGATGAATTTTTGTTATACAAAATATCAAATCAAATGAATGCAATTATGCAGGGACAATTAGCTGATGGACGAGATGTTGCTGTCAAGAGACTTTCAAGCGGTTCTGGACAAGGAATAACTGAGTTCATAACAGAAGTAAAACTGATAGCAAAGCTTCAACACCGAAACCTTGTAAAGCTCCTTGGTTGTTGCTTTCGAGGACAGGAAAAATTACTGATATATGAATACATGGTTAATGGCAGCCTAGACTCCTTCATTTTTGGTATGTAATATGAAGAATGATTACATTAGGTGCACTTGTCTTGTTTTATCAGTCATAGACTTATTAATCTTGAAAATCTAATATTGAACAATACATTTGCTTGACAAAAATAACAGATCAAATAAAAGGTAAGTTACTCGACTGGCCCCGACGCTTTCAAATAATATTTGGAATCGCTAGAGGATTTTTGTATCTTCATCAAGATTCACGATTAAAGATAATTCCTAGAGATCTCAAAGCAAGTAACGTTTTACTCGATGAAAAGTTAAATCCAAAAATATCAGATTTTGGAATGGCTAAAGCATTTGGAGGAGACCAAACAGAAGGCAATACAAACATAGTAGTTGGGACTTAGTGAGTTTCTTTCTAATTATACAACACCACATTTATTTATTTGTGTCATATGAATATTGTTTGTTCTAATTTTATTTTCTTGTAGTGGATACATGGCTCCAGAATATGCTGTTGATGGACTATTTTCAATCAAATCTGATGTTTTTAGCTTTGGTATTTTGTTGTTGGAGATTGTATGTGGAAGCAAAAATAGAGCCCTTTTCCATAGAAACCAGACTCTTAACCTTGTTGGTTATGTAAGCACTAAATAAATTGTTATTTATCTATGACAAAGTTAAACATGAATAATTAACTTTTTTTCTTCTTTAATGTTTCAGGCATGGACACTTTGGAAAGAGCATAATGTTCTACAATTGATTGACTCAAGCATAAAGGACTCGTGTGTTATCCCAGAAGTATTGCGATGCATCCATGTAAGTCTCTTGTGCGTGCAACAATGCCCAGATGATAGGCCAACCATGACCTCAGTAATTCAAATGTTAGGGTGTGAGATGGAACTAGTTGAGCCACATGAGCCTGGTTTCTTTCCAAGGAGGATTTCAGAAGAAGGAAAATTATGCACAAATCTAAACCAAATGACTTCAAATGATGAATTAACCATTAGCTGGTTAGATGGTCGGTGAAAATTATTAACTCAGCTGAAAGTATTGCATATATAGATGCACTTTTTGCATTGCAAGTACATTCAAGACCGAAGGGTTTTTGTTTTAAAACCTTCTCATGTTGTTCTGATGTATTTGTCTGTATAGAAATTTAATCACATAAGTTTTTAAAGTAATATGATATACTATCTTTTAGGAGTGTTAACAACACATCTTACACACATTCCTTCCAACATTTGCTTTTGGATAAACTTATTGTAACCTACAAAACTAAGAGACAAACATAAAATAAGAAGACACTTTTTTTTCTAAGTTGAACCAATAGTAGAGAGCATGTTAGAGATTGCCTGACAAGTGACAAGTATTTCTCTATATTTTTTTTTCTGTCTTTGATCATAAATGCGATATTAATTGATGAAATATTGTTCTACGATAAGATGTTTGAAAAAGATACATGTATTAGAAGAGGTTTCACTCTCCGTGGATTCCATCACTACGTGAGAGGACTTTAGCATGTTATTGCTGGAAGAATACTCGGAGACACGGAGGTGTCAGAGTTCGGTATTTGCGGGGCCAATTTTTTTCAACAAATATACACCATATATGATATATGTATTAAACTTATGATGGATATTCAAATTACTAATTATTAAAATGCAATATATATATATATATATATATATATTCTTCAGAACTTAATATTACAAACAGTAATCATCAATTTTAAATGTAAATTTTAAAATTAAATTTCAATAATTTCTTATAAAATTGGTATTTTAGTTAATTATAAATTTGTAGAGAAAATATTTTTTGAAAATACATTAAATTATAATGAATTATTTTATTCAAGTGTTTTGATATTCATGAATCGTTAAAAAAGAAATATATTTTAAAGTTTAATATATGATTATACAATGTAAGTGTATAAATTTTACATTGTGAACCCGTAAAAAAACATTGTTGATATAAATGGATAATAACTAATTGAGTTATTTTATGATATTTGTTTAAGGGGGTATTGAATTATTTTTATAAGACTGTTTCACACATAATTCTATCCGCTTTAGGCCTAAGTCTTCACGGTTTTACTTTTGGTTATCACTCAAAAGGTTTCTCTAAGGTTATTTTATATTTGTATTTTGTAAAGATATAATTTTTATCAAAGGAGTATAATCTAATTTTATTCACGAGGTCTCTATTTCTAGAGAAAAATTATCATACAAAATCAAATATTGATATTATCTTATTCTAAAAATAAAGAAAAAATCCTAGAATAATCAAAACAGATTAAATCTAAATATTTAAAACATAAATAAAATATTCTTATCAAAAACTAATTTATTCTCTTAAAGATATTTAGGCATTTTCTCAACATAAAGTAATTACCTTATGTGATAATTTGTCAAGATCACATACTCATTAGAATAGTATCTTATAGGCAATTGTCTCTACCTAGTAGACCTCCTGAGTTGGGTTGGTGGTGGCTCAGGTGCATCACCAAGACTTTCATATTGTGACATCTCATGTTCCTCTTCATCAACATCATCAATACGAACATTTACCTCATTTTTAAATCATTGCTCACCAACATAATCATATTTCTCACCATTCTAAACATTAGTATCTAGATAATGAGTTGGTAATTGAATTGGATCGACATCAGCCATGCCACTATCTCCCTTGTATAGACTTCTCCACCTTATCAATGTCTTCAATGGTTTATTCTTCCATGAACTTCACATCATAGTTTCTAATAAGCTTTTTCTCAATAAGATCATAGAATTTATAACCAAATTCATCATCACCATAACCAATAATTAAAGATACATTGTTTTGTTATTATATCGAATTTAGATCTTTCATCCTTTGGAACATGAACAAATATGCCTTGCAAGTGAAAACTCTCAAGTGATCATACTTGACATTCTTGTCAAACCAAATTTTATTTGGCATCTCACTATTCAAAACAACAAGACTAAGATTGATAACATGCACCATCATGTACAATGCTTCACCCAAAAAATGCTTAGGTAACTTAGTCTTAAAGAGCATGCATCTCACTCTCTCAATCAATGTCTTATCCATCCTTTTTCCTAAATCATTCAACTAAGGAGTTTTAGGAAGGGTTTTCTCATGTGTAATACCATGTTGCCTATAATAGACATCAAACGATCCACAATACTCACCACCATTATCAATACAAATACACTTCATCTTCTTGCTTGAATACCTATCAACCAAGGCATGAAACTCTTTGAACTTCTCCAACACTTGGTATTTAATTTGTCTTCAAAGTATAAACTCATATTTTCTTAGAATAGTCATCAACAAAAGTAACACAATAAAGTGCATTTCCAAAACATTTTACCTTCAACAACATTTGAATGCACCAATTCAAGCAATGTCGATTTCCTAGAAGGAGGATGCTTCTTTAATGATACTTTGGTCTGCTTACCAACCATGCAATGAGAACATTTCTCTAACTCTATATTCTTCAATCAAAGAAGCACATCCTTTTGGCTAAACAATTCAACCCTTTCTCACTGATATGACCAAGCCTTCGATGCCACAAAGATGCCTCCATATACATAACATTCACACTGTCTTTAGTAACCAAAGCTTTTGTCCAGTAAAATTTAGAATTTCTCTCCCTTTTAGACATAATCAAGTTACCTTTGGCAAGTTTTCACTTTCTAGAACCAAATTGATAATCATAACCACCATCACCAAGCACTTGCACAGAAATCAAATTAAAACAGACATGTGGAAACATGCTTAATTCTTCTAAACAACAACTGTATCCTCATGTTAGTTTGCAAGCAAACATCACCAACAACAATCACCTTAGACACGTCATCATTACCCATCTTCAATACTCCAAAATCACCACGAGTATAAGATGTGAATAACTCCTTCTTGATAATAACATACAATGAAACATCACTATTTATTATTCATATGCTTTCATCAGATACAAGATTAATTGCTTCAGGAACATGTAGAAGAGCAAGAGAATTGTAACATCCTAATTTTTGTAACTATTTATGTATATAATTGATGTAAATTATTATATATTTTATTATGATAAATATTTATTAAACATTACATAAGTTACTGGGAATGAAATTTATGTAGCATCATTTACCAAGATTTTCTAAATTCAGTGACATGTATTTTATTGTCTAATTTGACTATTTCTCGAACAATGTTGTGAGTATGCTATAAAATTTGAAAAAACTCAATTTAAGAAAAATCAAGTAATATATAACCTAAATGATAATTTATTGAGTGCTGATTAAGAATAAATTAAGTTAAGAGAGAAATTCTCTAAATTAAAATTTATAGAAATTCTCTAAGAATTTAATTTGAGAAAATTATTCTGCTAAAATCTTAAGCTAAAAAATTATGAAAAAATGTTCAATAGGATCTAAATAATTTTATTATTAATATAATATGCTTAGAATAATTAATAAAAATGTCTAGTTAGGTTAAACTAAAATACAAGTCTCAACCAATCAAATTATGACACATAAACAAATTCTAATTAATTTAATTAATATTAATTAACATAATTAAAAGATGAATAAGAGATCATGACCAAATTTTATATTTTTAATGTTAACATGCAAATAATGTACTAAGTGAAACTAACTTTTAGAAATTATTTAGTATGTAGTCTACATTGCCATACTGACTCTAGGTAGGGTAAATGGTAAGCAATTAAGTGTTTTATATAATTAACAAAATAATAATATTGTAAAAGAACTATCGTTAGTGAAACACTGGACAAGATATTTTAGTGGATGCGAGTGACATAGTGTAGTGTAACTAATAAAATTATAATATTATAAAATAATGTTAAGATAATAATTGTATATAAAATAAAAGAATTTATATCTATATATAAAAACAATTTTTTTTGGTGTATACATTATTTTTTATTATTTTAACTCTATAAAAAGCATATGGATCACATGATAATAATTAATAAACAACAGAAAAGTCTTTTTTATAGAATTTTTATTGTATATTACTTTCACTAACGTGTCTATTAAAGGAAGAAACCACGGAGACATGAAGTGTCTTCTTTTCCATTAGTAATAATAATTTCAATTGATTCGATTATCGAATTCTCCTATTTGTAAAATGTAAACCCATGCTATCAATTAAGGTTGCATTCCTTTGGTTTGGATTTAATTCAATCAAGAAAAAAAAAAACCAATTTAATTGATTTAGCTTGGATGATTAATTTTACCACATTGTTTAAAATAGAAAAATACCTTCTATTTGAGAGTGTCCTTGTATTATAAAGATAACAACGATAACAATCTATACTACTAATTTATATAACTACTCAAATTATTTTTTCTCTCTCCATCATTTTTAAAAAATTACGCTCATAATTATAATTATTTAAAAATTACTTAATTATTAATCACTAGCTTTTTTCTAATCTTCACACTAATAATAATAATAATCATAGTAACGATAATAATAGGAGTGTCAAAATTTCAAAATTGATTTAACTTCATGTAAAAGGATAAATATTTTTTTTATTAAAATAAAATTTTTAGGAGAGAAAATAAAAGAAAGTTATGGTGACCTTCACGCCACAAACTCAATAAATCCTTTTCTACGGAATTGTACCATTACTTCTTTTGATACATTAAATTTTAGTTGTATCATTACTTACATAATTATCTCCAACCACACCAACATTGGTTCAAAACTGTTTTCTCCGTGAGAGTTATTGGACTGAAAGATATATTACTTTGACTTTCTGTCTTTTCTATGACTTTGGGTTTAATCAAATGGTCAGTTGGTCACATACAAAATTTGACTTTGGTGCAAAGCAATTCAGAGGAAGGTTCATATGCCTCAATTCACTCTTTGTTTATCAATCAACATTAGTGACTATATTTTTCACTTTTGTGATTATTTTTCTGAGTATAGCATCAATTATCGTATCCTCAATTAGCTAATTGGTGCTATATAAACAATTAAGCATGCAACTTTAACTGATTGTAGCGAAATATTTTTTTTTTATTCATAAACATGATCTTACATATACAACTAATCTATACTCAGAATATGATCATTACTCATGAACATTATTTTATCACATCTAAGATTTGAACTTAGAAGCATCACGTGAACCTCATATCACATATATAATAGACCTTATAATTACTGGATTAAAAGATTTGATTAGTGAAATAATATATACTACTCGATTTTTATTCAAGTTATGAAGAAA